GTCAGGGAATAAGCCTGCTGACTTTGAAGCCATTTTCGGATTTTATGCCTCCCGATTTTAAATTTTCCCTCAGACTTGATATATTGGTACAATTTTTCTACACCTGAATAGCTTGCTGGGTTGGATGTGTCAAAATACAAAGAAGACAAATATTGTTTCCAGTTAGACATGTTTATTGACAACAAATACAAATACACATTCTTACAAAATTATAACAAATGTATCCACAAGATATTACAATACAGTGGAGTATAAAGTATGTGTTCTGGTGTCTTCTATATAACGTTCCAAAATGTCAAGTAAATGTTCTGTAGCTTCGCGATATTCTCGTCTCACTTGATAGTGTCTAAGCCATATCCAAACCATACAGACAAGTGTTAACATATTCAATGCCTTTGATGGGTCGTGATAGCCTTATTATTGACAAACAAATTTGCTGCAGTTGTAGTTGAACTGAATCCTCCAAAACCGCAAGGTGTTGGTCTAGTTGTTGATACAAACGCGCCAAATCCGCCTATTGGGGTCGGTTTTTGTTGAGGAGCGCCTACTATTCTTATATATTCGCAGTTTGGAGACCACTTGTAATGTTCTCTCAATGCACAGTCCGACCTTTCCCAAGCACTCAATTTCACGTGACATCGAAAACACGCACACACGTCAGCTTTGCCGCTGTAATACAATCCTGCACTTGCCAACTGGTATTTATCTGGTAACATTTGTTTCGGATAGGTTTCAAACGTCTTCAGTCTGTTATCATAATATTCCATATTTTTGTTGAGGGGTTTGCAGTCAGTGACGTTCATCTTGTTTATGCCAAAGCTTCGTGGTGTTTTCATTTATATACACACGGTTTGATTTCTGATTGGATGTTATTTTTAGAATGAGGTTATCGATCTATTTATAGAACTTTTGTCATTGCTATTTATAGTCACACGATTTTACCAGTTTCTGCAATCATTGGGGTTACACTCTGAACATTGTAGGGCTCCTAACTGATTCATGTGGTCGCTTTGTAAATAACAGGGCACCACTGCGTCTAATTCTGGTAAATTCCTGCCAATCTCTGGCATCAACTCTTTCAACCGACTGTACTCGGCGGGTCTCAAACATATCCCCTTCCTAGTCGGTACTACGTCATTTTCAGGTTTCCAAAACTGTCTGATGTCCACACATACACTGCCTTCACCCACATTACAGAACACGTTACCTCCAAGATGAGTGTTATAGGTCTGACTGTTTTGAAGTGTCTGGTCAACGTATTCTATCGCATCTGTTAAGTTTTTCCATCGCATTAATGTTAACCAAATACCCTTTTTTGTGGGTTTGTCGTCCTGCCATTCTCTGATGTCAACTCTAAGCTCACCTTTCCATTCATTCACTTGCACATATCTTTGGTTTCCAAGACTGTACTTGCATCTTGAATTGTTTGCCATGTTTGCTCGTCGAGTGTCAGAACTCTAATGACATAGGTGATCGTTACACCGTCTTTTATAGATCAAAGTCTCTTCTGATTGGTCATTTTTTTTCCGAGCATTTGATTGGTTACCTTCAGCCTGTAATAAAAGAGAAACTGCTGTTAGATTGGACAATGTCAATTCTAAATTTAGATCAGCGCATGCGTAAGATGCATCGTAAATATGACTTTAGCCATTTAGTGATTGTACGTCATAGAGTAAACATCATGATGTAGTAAGTTAAGTTTTATTTTAAGTACATATCTTAGTTTCTGTGAAAAATGTTAAAAAGAAAAAGCGTTTATGTATGAGTGATTTTAATTTCGATTTTAGTCCGTATTCATAAAGAGCGGCTTAAGACATTTCGTTTGATACCAAACACGCCTTAGTTCGGTCCGGACGTGGTACAGAAAACACGTTTTTACGCTTCAGTGATTTCAGTTCCGGTCCAATGGCTTTTTGAATAGGGTCCGGTAACAGGTGTGGTAAAATGCTTTCCAACGATACCAAACAAGAGTATATTCGGTCAAGAAATAACGGAAAAAATCGATTTTGAAATTTCCGTGACGTCACTTCCGGTGACTTTAAACTCGAATTACTCGAAAACGGTAAAAGATAAACCCATAAAACTATATATTTTCTTAATTAGCGCGACGAGACGAATCGATTGGTAAACAGTTCTAACGTTTTTATTGACTTTCGCAATTTAGGGTTTAAAATCGCTCTTGCGTCATAACTCAAAAACGGCTGAAAATCGAATCGAGAACCCCGGGTCAAAACGAAAGCTTTCGGTTTATTCTAGCTTTCGGTTTATTCTATCTTATAACGACTTTATCTCGAAAATTTTGAGCGTAAACGGTTGCCCAAACGATAAAAAACCGGTTTATAGCTTAAATGTATTATAAATTTCATTTAAAATCAGTTTACAACTTTCTTATACATAAGTTATTCATTCAAAATCAGTTTACAACTTTCGTATACATAAGTGTATTCATTCAAAATCAATTTTCGTAAAAAAAAAACGGGAATTTGAAGTGTTCATAAAAATCACAAAATTTGACAAGTTGTTAAGGGCAACCGTGTTTAAAATATGCAATCAGTTGACCGTAGTATGCACTTGAAAGGAACCTAATTAAGGGGGTACGACGGTCGCTGCGTTTGAAAGGATAATAGATTCTTTTGTGATTAATAAAAAGTTATATTTAGTAACGAAGGATAAAGGGTTTTTGTTCAACATAGTGCCGCTAGGTATTGTGAATCTAGACTGAGCGGCGACTGTACTTAATGCCTTTTTCTTTCATTGACACCCGCGTGGGGCTGATGAAATAGCTCCTGGTGGTTGTGAAATACCGCGACTAAAAATAGATCATGCGCAGTCTACAAGAACGTTACGCTATGACAGTCATTTCCTTACTAAATGTAGGTAAGTAAACGAGTTATATTTGTATCAATATTATTTTGAACCTATTAAAAAACTATTTTTTATAAATTAAAATGTTAAGTACGTATCTATTTACAAACATTTCTTTTATCTGTCATAATGGTAATTATCTCTCCGTCTAGGGCCGAGGACCTGACCCTCAATGTCCGCGATTCAAGCCCTAAATCGTGTATACGAGTCAGCTCCGTATACTTCCGGGAGATTAAAAATAGATTTCTAAAAATAGACGGATGATCACATTCTCAAAATAGAACAATGATGTCATTCTAAATAAAAAATCCAATATGGCCGCCGCGCATGCGCAGACGTGACGCCAAACCGACCCCTATACTACTGTTCTGAATAATTTGTACAATTCCAATCTTTCTAAGAACAAACATTTTATATTGATGTTATATCCTTTTAACTCCAACTATTTCTCGTTAAACAATTTAGCATTACATGTTTTCATTTATTGGAAGGTCATTTGAGCCGTGCCATGACAAAACCAACATATTGGGTTGCGACCAGCATGAATCCAGACCAGCCTGCGCATTCGTGCAGTCTGATCAAGATACATGTTGTTCGTTCAAGCAGAGCAACCGATAGCGAACAGCATGTATCCTGATCAGACTCAACGGATGCGTAGGCTGGCCTGGATCAATGCTGGTCGCAAACCCATTATGTTGGTTTTGTCATGACGCGGCTCATTCTATTCTAGGAAGGATGCTGTTGAATTTTCCTGTACTTTATTGATACAAGACATTAGCAAAGTTGTTTATCAAGTTAAATTCTATTAAAATAATCCCACGTCTTCAGTTATTATGTTTCGGCAGGTGATGAAATCGTGTGTACATAAAAAAAATACAATAATAAAAATAATAATAAACACCGCCTAGCGGGAGTCATACTCGAAATGTTCTGACTCATCGGATGACACAAAGTAAGGAATACTCCAACAAAACATTAACAACAATGTATTATTATGGACTGGAACGGGAACGGAAAACATGATTTTTCTCGCAAAAAGTTAAGCTTATAACACAGTACAGTCAAACTGGTAAATAAGGACCATCCAAAGAGAGAACATGCATGGCCTTAAATGACAAAAGGTATTTATTAGGAATGTCCATTTTTCAATGCAGGTTTCTCAAAAAAGTGGTCTTTAACTACAAGGTGGTCTTAAATCGGAGTTTGTCTCTAATCAAGGTTTGACTGTGTATCAATTATTGAAAGTCACTAGTTCTGGCTTCCAAAATTTTATAAGCCGCTATTTAACTTTTTTTTTCATCTGATGCGGCATTAAAGTTTTGGATTAGACCCGTAACAAAACCTAACCAGAATAACATAAGTTGATTTATTCTTATTTTTCACTTGCAAATACACTTCACCCAATCAATTCTTGTGCATTTTACGATAGAACAATTATTTTTATATCGTTCTATACCAAGTAAAGTATCAAAATATTAATACCGTCATTAAAATTGTCTATTTAACTGTAAAACATCAATTTACGCCGATTACAGCCAGCCATGACATTCAGATGCCACGCGAGACCTCGTATGACGTCATTCGCGGGAACCGATTTGAATAGAGTCGTGTACTATATTTAGAACATTTTGTTGACATGATTTCGATATTTTTATTCAAATGATGTTTTTATTTATTTTCATTAATTTTTAGTACTTACATATGATTTTATTGAATATAAAAGTCACTAAATCACCTTTTTCAATATCTTTAAAAAAAGTAATTTATAAAAATATTGGAAGCACATGGGTTCGTAAAGGTCAATCTCGTAATCACGTGGTCAAACATTTTGGCAATATGGCGGCCAAGTGCCGAAATTTTTACCTGTCGGAAACTATTAGGAAGTTTATGTTCATAATAAGATTTTTATTTGTCCATCCTTGGCTTATCAACATATTATATATAGTGTTATCAAGGTATACTTCACTTTACTTCATGGCATGTTCGATGAATGAATACGAGCGTGTCAGATTCCTGGCAACGATTATTGGTCGACTTTCCCTACGGGGTTGTCTCATGTCATAGTATATAAACGGGTACGCTGAAGACCTTAAGCTAGAAAGTCACATGCATAGCGTATTTAAATAAAATCTTACTTGTTTTCATCCGGTTATAACGTCTCCTCTCTAAAAATCTCTGAAAAATGTTTCCTTCATTCTGTCTGTTTTGCCTTGTTTCATCTGAAGAATAATTGAAACATTAACAATTCAATAAAATCAGTTATAAGAATTATGATACCTACTTTCCAAGGCTTGAACCATTGTAATTGAATCTGTGCTATATAATAGAAGTAGCCACTAAAAGTCAACACTTTGATTAGTTGTCGAACTGCACTACGCAGTATTACCAGTTTAGATAGGATAGGATAGGAGAGATGGTCACTTTTCTTAACAACGAAAAACATTGTTTGGACCTAAATAGGGTATTTTGTCACTGTTTGAGGCCTGGCAAAAACCATCAAAACACGTCTATATGAGGGAAAAGGTTAAATAAAAAATCAGTTGTTCAGAAAAAAATAGTGTTATCTTTTTGTTAAAACATCGGCTTTAACAAAGATATAACAACAAAATTAATTCACCTCCATAGGTGACATAGATGAATAAATAAATAAATAAATGAATAAATAAATAAATAAATAAACAAATAAATAATAAATAAATAAATAAATAAATAAATAAATAAATAAATAAAAATAAATAAATAAAATAAATAAATAAAGACAATTTATGGAACTTTGACTTGTGTTCACGTAAAATGATACGGCACTTTAACATTAGACAGTACTTGTCAAATATTGTACATGTACATAAGAAGGTACTCAATCGCCATCTACATTAGTATAATTGTGTAATTTCCTTTTTGGATATTGAAGGAAATATAGACAGTTTGTATACTGGTACTGTCCAACAATATTGATCTGGCACTTCATTAACTTTCGTAAATATCATTGGATAAACACTGGTATCTAACGAATATATTGATATACTTGTAAGCTTCACACATCAGTGCGGTGTGGTGTGTTGGTATAGATCTGAAGTTATCTGGTTCTATTCGTTACCAACACCACGATATGAAGTTTCTTTTTCCCCTTTTTGAAGCGGACAATAATTAATTTGAAACCGTTTTACTACATGTGGTTTAAAGAATCCTTTTAGGTTTTTTATTCACAATTATATTTGTTTCTTTTTATTATATCATTTTTACTAAGAATTAAAGCGCATTTATAATACAAATCAAATAATTAATTAATAAATGGTCGCCCCGCAGTGGCGCGGAACGAGATGCAAAAATTAAACGACAGGAGCGCTCAGCGAAACCAAGCTCATTAGCAGGTGCGCGAAACGAGGTGTATAGAACGGCGGGGTGCGCTCATTAGCTAATTAGTTTAATAAATGAAACGTCGCCCCGCGCCCCTGCTAATAAGCGTGTTTTCGCTCCGCGCCCTGGACATTATAACTTGTTAATTTTCGACTTGTCGCTTGTCAGGGTCGCGCGGCGAAAACATGAATGACACCAATCAGCCACCATAAATTACACAGGTAGCCCCTTAAAGTCGTTAAACAAAATCATGAAATGTCAAATGTGCACTTAGATGAATATGATCATGATGAGGATGTCGCTGATGCTCCTGCTGATTATGATGATCATGGATGATTCTGATAATGTCGAAGATAATGGCGATAATGACGATGATGATGTAGATGATGATGTTAATGATGACAAGGTAAAGGAAAAACACGAGAGGGCCTGCACTGACCAGAATTTTTGTGTAGCCAAATTTACTTCTTGCACCCTATATAACAAAAGTGGTTACAAATTAGCAAAATTCTGTTAGCAACTTGAAAACATTGTTGTCAATGAGCAACATTTCAGGTTAAGACAGAGTGAGCCCTGTATTATTTTAAACATGATGTTCAGTTTCAGAACAGTTTTCGTACATTTCGTACATGTATAAGCATTTATCAGGAGTGAATTCACCGGAAGCTACTTGCACGATGACGTGTAGCTTTTCAAAATGATGATAGCATGACGTCACACTAGTCATTTTTTGGGGTGTCACTTTTTGCAAAGAAGGGATCGTTGTGAAGGTGTGCTACCACTAAATTATCAGATAGTTTTATAGCGTTATTCTCTCATATAAACTGGTATTCATTTGTGTTTGAACGTGCATTGTGCTTGCGTAAATTGTGTGATAAGCATAGATATAAATTGATATTTTAAAAAAAGTTGGATTTTTTTTTTATTCGGGCATCTATATTATTTTTTAAATTTATATATTGTTATAATAATAATGACTAGAATTAAATAAGTTTTGAAAATAAAATCATTTGTGAAATTCATTTTATGAATTCGGTTAATTTCAAAACATAAATGAAAATGGCTTTTTAAAGTTCATTGGTTAATTTACAAACAAATAAAAGTTCATTTTAGCTCGACTTTTTAAAAAAAAGTAGAGGTATTGCTATAATCGCGGCGGCGTTGCAGTCGCAAACTTGTACCTGGATCATACCTTTTTGATTTTTTGGTGTATTGTCTTCATACTTGGCCACAACAACAAGACCTTTCAGTAGACCACACTAACCTTGACCTTCATCCATAAATGACCTTGACCTTCAAGGTTAAAAGTCCAAATTTTGCTTGTTCATGCTGTTATTTGCTGTAACTTTATTATTTTTGAATGGATTGTCTTAAAACTTGAACATAATAATCTTCAAGGATATCCCTGAAAAATAACCAGACAGACCTTGACCTTCAATCATAAATGACCTTGACTTTGAAGGTCAAATTATTGAAATGTTCATTTTGTTGTATATGTCTTTCAGGTGGGTTGAAGGTGTGCATACCATATATTTACTGCTTAATTTGTTATTACGTTACTCTCTTTTTTGTTATCGAACAACATATTACATTTTCGCTACAAGTTTGTGTCACAAACTTCTCCCACAGTTTTTGAGCAAACATATTCAGATTTGGAATATGTCTTGCAAATGGGATGAAGATGTACAAGACTCATTTATTTTCACTCTGTTTTGTAATTTACATTACGCCATTTCCGTTACCATATAACATAATAAAATTGCTGTGTAAGTTTGTGTCGCCAACTACCCATACAGGTTTTCATCACTCATTTTAAAATTTAATTTGTACGTAAAGATGTGCAAGACACATATATTTTCGTCGACCTGTTTCGAACATATTTTCTGGTATTTCCGTCACTATATAAAATAATATAGATGCTGTGTAAGTTTGTTTCGCAATTTTTTTTTTCATGTTTTGAGAAAACATTTTCAAATTAAATTGTATTCCGTTTAGATGGTTTCAAGATGTACAAGACACATTGTTTTGTCGGTCTGTTTGTAATTTTCTTTGCGATTTAGTCAACTCCATGTAAGTTGGTCATAGTGTTAACTATCAATTTGTTGGCAGGGGTAATAAAGTCACATTAAATAACAGTTCTATTTACATTTAAAGGCACATCTATTGCCGGCTTAAACGTTATTACATTGTAATGTACAAAAGAAGATTGTGTTGTTAGTGCTAAAAAGATTAAATAAAGTGCTAAAGAAAGAAGGAAATAGACTATGAATGTGTATAGATAGGTTAGATGTAAGAGGTTGGAAGGTTCATTATGATTTGTTAAAATAAAAATACATCACCTATAAAATTTGTTATAGATTGATCAAGTACTTTTACATTTTTAATGTTGAATATTGATATGTAAATGTATTTCTTGTATGTTCATAAAATAAGACTGAAATAAGCTTAATAAAATTTATTTTTTAAACTTATCATTCTTTTCATTACGAATAATACAATTGTGTTCACGCAGCATTGATTATAATATCATATTTTAAACAAAAATAAAATAAAAATAGTCAGTAATTGACAGAGTTATTGCCCCCTCCCCCTTGATTTTCAGTGGAAATTGGCTAATCATTGGTACCTTTTGAGACAGGCGTTTTTTAGATATTTCATTGTGGCATTTCTTTGACAATGTATCCAGTCAAATCTGGTGCCCGAAGAAATAGAACGTTCTATATGTTTCATGTGGCAAACTTTAAACAAATTATCTCCAGTGCAATCAACAGTACCTGTTGAGATAGACGTTCAGTATATTTCATTTTGGCAATTTCCATTGATAATATCTCATGCCAGATCTGGTTACATGTTAGAGGAGAATATGCGTTGCTTGTTGTTTATATGTGGCAATCTTTTACAAAGGTTCTCCAGTTCAAATATGTGCCTGAAAATATTAGAAATTTAGAGATACTTTTATTTGGCAATCTTTGAAAAATATCTGCCAGCCAAATCTGTACATGTACAGATATGTATTTTCTTGAATATTTTATGTGACAATGTTAGACTATAGTCTCCAGGCAAACCTCGGTGCCCCCTTAAGAGATAGATGTTCTAGATATTTTAATGTGCAATCTTTGATATTTCATTTAGCATATTAGACACTGTCTCCCCTTTTCAAAATCTGGTACATATAGAGATATAGCATTCATAAATATTCACAATTAGCAATCATCTTATGGACAAATTTCTGCAAGCCAAATTTCTCGGTACAATTATAGAGGATATACCGGGTTCTTGATATTCACGTGGCCAAATTTCATTGACAATGTCTCTAGTCAAACCATTATGCCTTTAGAGATAGGCCGTTCTAGATATTTTCACGTCTTGCAATTTTTGACAATGTTCTCCAGCAAAAACTTCTCGGCACATTATAAAGAATATGGGGCTCTTCTTTTATTTCAACGTGACCCAATCTTTGACAATGTCTTCAGGTAAGGTTTCTAGATATTTTATTGCGGCAATCTTTGGAATATCTCAATCGAAAAATTTAAAAATATGTAGAGATTTTGCGTTCTCAATATTTAAAGTGGCAATCTTTTGACAATATCTTCTTGTCAAATCTGGTTACAAAACCTGTAGAGATAATAGTTCTAAAATATTTCATATGGCAAAAATTTGACAAAAATTCTTCCATGCCCCAATATCTTTGACGTGAACCTGTTAGGGATAAGACGTTCTCTATTTATTTTTTATGAGCCCAATTTTGATTTAATGTCTCAAAGCAAAAAAATCTAGTTATGTGTAAAAAGATTATGCGTTCTTTATGTTTTATGTGTCTTAGGGAAATGTATTTCCAGCCTAAATATGCTAAACCTTTGAG